GTTTTACCTCTCATGACCGTGAAAAGGAAAATAGTTTTTCATAAATTTCCTACGTTTAATACATGTGTAGCTAAATGTAATTATATTTTTAGCATAATGTAATTGTACGAGTTTTCCTGTTTCCTCCTGATTTCTTTTTCCACGTTTTCTCCATCTTTTTGCTTTATTTTTTCCCCCTACCCCCCTCTCTCCATACAATGCAAGCAAGAGAGACCCGCTGCGCGCACCTCACTCCAATCTTTCCACTCTAATCTCGGGCTTGGGCTTTTATTCTCTCTCGCGCTCGCCTGCAAAGCCCGGTGTGCAGCAAACTTTTCCGATTTGGCGGTCTAATGGAGATACATTGGTTGGAAAACTGGTAAAATCGTAGCTGGAATACCAACCACAAAATAGCGGAGTCTTATAGTCTCTCTAATATCTAGCTGGTTTATTTGATTATTATTTAAAGAGATTATTTCTTCTTTTCAACTTGACGAAGCATAATGAAATGTGAATGATCATTCCGGCTCATAGCAGATGTAATTATGATGAAAAATGCCCCTAGGCCACTTTATATTGAAAGACGTGGCTCAATTCTCGTTAGGGTATAATCTTTAATTAAATCACCATTGATTCACTGGTAGAAGCTACTCCCTTGTCTGTTAGCCCTTACAGCAGAGTGAGGTCGCCCATTTAGGAACCAGAGCAGGCCATCGAAGAACCAAAGTGGCTTGAGCATCCTCTGAACAAAATCAATTTTACCAGAGAAGCCTAATTATCAATTTACGATATCGTAAATGTAATGAAGTGAATCTAAAACTTATCCTTCGGACATTCATCGGTACTATCAAAAATCAACAAAATCAGCTTTAGTAACCGAATTGGAATTTTTTGAAAAAGTACAAAAAATATAAGAAAAATAAATGAACAAATTTGATCTTTTGTTGGAAAATTTCCAATTGTAAAAAATTATTCATGCCCATAAAACGTTAAACTGCATGGGACGCTGGATGTTTATTTGGTTTTACATTACTATTTACGGCATAAAGCTATATCGAAACCAATGGGCATTACGTTGGTCAGCTGTATTCATTGAAACTGGTAGCCCATCAGCAATGCCACAAAGTTAACCACCGCGCCCAAACCAAATGGCCAGTTACATTGCTACTGAACTACTGGCAGAATTAATCACTAATCCTTGGCAACTCTACAGCAACGATTGCAGTGTCCGAACAATTCGCGCCTCAACGACCTACTGCATAGAAGAGCTCTGAATATCATTCCACGTCCGCGATCTTCCTCTCAATTTTCTCGACACTATCATCATCTCAATTACCACTAATGTATAAATAGCATCATGTAATGTTGTTATTCAATGTAATTAATAATTCTGAATTGAAACAAGAAGAATAAATGTAATTAATGAACTGATTGATTTAAAACTCTAATTGGCGGACCGCCCTCCCTCTTTCATTTGCAATAAATATACATCAAATTGTTTTTTTTTCTCACACATAATTGGGCCAGTATATTAATGATGATTTTTTTTTGTGTTGAACGAGTGGCTTAGTTGGCATATGTACACGTATTTAATGGGAATTAAACGAGGTGTTGGCAACGGAAGGAGAAGGCTGCCATGAGCCACCCCATTATTTGGCTGGGCAAGTCGACGAATAATACGGAGAGCATTTAGAGCCGCAGGATAGGCGCACCCGCACTAAGGCGAGTGAGGCAGCGAGGAAGAATGGGGGCCGGGGCTCTCTGGTAGTATGGACCCAGGCACCCATACAATACAAACAGCTTAATTACACGGGGATGAGGGGGGAAAATCCCCAAGAGCAATGTCGAACGCCGCAGGTTCTACGGATCGTTATGATTTCACGAATGTATGATCACGGCCCACTCTTGCTAGTGCTGTTGCCTCTCTCCTCCCCTATTTCGCTCTTTCTCCTCCCCCTTGTTTCTCGATATCTATTATGTATTCCCACTTGCGGGAACACCACCAGTGGAGGACAACCAGTTCACACTTTACGTGTTCATAGGGTTTCTCCATTTCCTCAGCTCTTACACCTATATCCATCCACTGTATATATTTCAACCAGACAAATTCTTCGGGGAATTCAGCTGTCTATCAGCTCACACATTGGATCCAACATTTGTCCAACTACATGTGCACAGTGTTGTGTCGATCGATGGTGGGTAAGGATTCGAGAGTACATATCGCGTGTCAACGGCCACGTCAATACCAAAACCTCGATCGTCTCGTGAGAATTGATGAAAAGAAAAAAACCGAATGCCAGACAAAAAACCCAGTCATTGTAGAATTCAAATTTACTATCACCAAATCAGCTTATCAAGAATGATTTTATTATTGTTTCAATTGTTGTTACGAAAAACGAGGGTAATTTGATATCTCCATCAATAGAATAGAGGAAATTCGAAAATATAAGAGAACTGGATGGAAATCAATCATATCAGGGAAGCGATTTCAAACCTCAAGAACGTATTAGAGAAAAAGCTTCAGCGAAATATTGTAGATATAAAAGAAGAATTGTCAGCAGGGAAGAAGAGAATGGAAAAGACAAATCGAAGTGGTCATACAATGGTATCGTGGAAAAGCTCTTCGTAATTGAATCCCAACAACCTTATGCGCACGATTTCTATTGCTGAACAAACCAACCATACGACAATTGCCATAGTGGAGAGAAAGGTACTGGGGTACAATCATATTTCCGTTCAAACTCTCCATTCAATATTCATCAAACTCTAGGTACAATTGGAAGTGCGCACTTTTTTGCCCCCTGCATTTCCATTGTATCATGCAATGGTAGAAAAATAATGAAACGAAAATTGTAGTACAAATTTTGTTTTGTTTTTTTTGTTTTTTTTTTCTAAAAAATTATGGAAACCTTGTAAATGGCAATGGAAAAAATACACCATTCTCTGTCGAATACACATGTGTGCGAGTAGACGGATAAAAATGGAGATGGTATGAAAGCTTATATAGAAGCAGACAAGGAGAAGAAAACAACAGTAATACCCCTTTACAGTCCTATCGGCTTTGAGATACCCCCGGGGAGGCGTTACGGCTTGGAGATTTCACGTTCTGGGTCACCGCAAAGTACTTTGTAGGCCCTCTAGATTTACTTTCTTTTTCGAGTTTTATTAATGGAAACAATACAGAAATATTTTTGACAAATACACAACCTCACCCTACACGTCTCATAATTTACATCCACTTTTGAGCATTCTATCATCATCTCTACGGAAAAAAAAATTTCAAGTATAATCAATCATAGTTTCCAACAGAATAACGAATTATTAAATTTTAGGGATAAAAAAAGGGGGGTAAAATTGTTGAAACATTTCCATTAGTTACAAGCGGCTAAATGTGTCTTGCACAAAGGACGAGAAAAGTTGAACGGGATATTCGCCGTTGGTGGAAGAGTAGCGGCGAAGCCAACTCGTAAATTTATGGCTCAGGAACTATATGTACTGGCTGTTTCGCCCGGACGGAAATGGACGTCACGAGGACGAATGAGACAAGTTTCACGTCGATTTCTCGTCGAAAGTGGCCGCTATACGTATGTGTACTCCTGGAAAAGAGAACAATGAGATTACACTAGGAGATGCCTAGGATTGGTACGGGCTACGATCAACTGTTCTTCTGGTCTCTGTCTCTCTTTAACGTTACGTGGCAAGTCGAGAATCGCGAGGAATTTAATTAGTCGAATACTTTGGACAAGCGCAGATAGGGGGCAAAGCATGCTCATCTCCTCGAGGCGGCAGTTGAAAAAAGTAGAATTTCTCAATGATACTACCTCAAGAATCGAAGCACCTGATGGTTTCCTGTCTTCAACTCACGTCATTAAGAATTTTCTCATTAACTACAGTTGAGCGAAATGAAACAGCTAAAATACATCATTTTTTTTCTCCTTGTTTCCTTCAGTGACTGAGTTGCATGTAAATTTGTAGAAAAGAAGAAAAATTCGCATTACGTAGAGAGGAAAAGCTTTTATTTCTCGGCGAAAAACGAGTAAATCGAGACGGAGTTGATGGCTACCGCGGAGGAGGAGTCTTGCTAGACAATTTGCAATGCTGAAACGAAAAGTTGTCGAGCATTACATCAGAAGATGGTGGTGTTATCTACATCGAAAAGATGGTGGTGATCCTCCAACTAGTCACAAAATAAGCTGAATGAATGAACAACTTGAGCTGCTGGGAGAGCTGCTTGGATGTTTGATGAAAAGGGCTTTGTATTTTTACAATTCTATATCAATTCTAAATAATAATAGCGCTACAGATCGAATGACCAAGAGGTTGAATTGTATAGTAATGGTTAAATAACATTTCGTCTGACGCATTCGGAGCCGATTGTTGGAATGAACAGCATAAATCGGGCGTGCCACAAGTGCGAACTCGAGTGGTTATATATTGTACCAAAAAGAACTCCCTACGATGGAGTGCGGACGTAGAACGTTTAAAAGAGGCTACACATCGAGTTGAATACTTGAAGCAGGGAAAAGCTTCTTTCCACTTGTCAATCCTATTTTACCTTTAGTAAGACTTTCCCCACAGCGTTTTTTTTTTTACTGTACTTGCATTCACTTCATTCCATCAGTCGTCAGACCTGGATGTATAAAAGAATGCTCTCTGTGTGTGTAATATTTAAACTACGGAAGAAATGAAGCAATCATTGCTCAAACATTTGTTCTATCTTTGAATAATGAAAGAGGAGGGCACAATTCCTTGATTAAGTCCAAAGCCAAGGATCATGTGCGAATTGCGGAAATGATATAATTGGTGGGACAATGTACCCTCGAGAGAATATAATCGAATGTTAAATGATAAAATATGCTTCAAGTTGCACCTCTGATAAATACGGAGTAATTCAGTGACACACGGTGATTATTGTCTGCAGCTGGTGGCACATGTGTGAATCATAATATAAAGACACCTTTACAATACTGAGCTTGAAAGGATTTGCATCAATTAGTTGATTAATATTTTTAGAAACTGACCTTGTGCTCGTACACTTCCAAAAAATATGATGAGAATTGTCACTGCCGCCGGATGATACCTCATTTCTCCTTCTTAATACGATTTTATCGCTCTTCTACTAGATTTTATTATTATTATTATTATTATAACTATTATTATTGTTATTATTAGTCTTTTTCACACTGACAAGGCAGTATCTGCTCTTGAGAGCACCTATGAATTTCAATGGTTCCTCGCGGTCACTTGAGACTTTCCGTTCGCTTACGAAACACAAAGTCTTTAGTTTACACACCACTTTTGATCCTCTCCCGCACGTTTATTTGCACGTTTCCCATTACATGAGATATTTGTTGATTATTATTGTCCTTTAAACTTGAAGACTAATGCTACTCAGCTACCACAGAGTCCTTTATATTGATAAAAGAAAAACAATTGACATGTATTTATATGTAAATTATAAATTAAAGTTTTCAAATGTGGATAGTAAAAGTTGATGCACTTTGGAGAAATAAATGAAACGCTTTGGCTGTATCTTGACGCTGGTATTGCATGTTTGAACAGAGTTAAAAGCCCAGGTGCATGTGCAGTCCCGAAATCACTAAGACTCACACACGACTTTGATAGGACAAACAGAGGAGAAATGAAAATAAGAATGAAAATGGTAAAAAGTAGCTGAAAGGTAAACGGTACTTGGCTGAACAACTATAGCTATTCCCTATCCCCAATGAAAAGTTTTGACTTCTGGTGTGTTGGCTTTGGAGATTCTTCTCCGGCACTGCAACTAACCCCCTGTCGTCCCCTCATTTATACCTCGTACATATATGTATATGACTCGGCGGATACATACACTGGTCCACTTAAAAGATTCAACAAACGACGAAAACGCAGAAAACTTTTGGTGAGCACGTGCCTCACTGAAAGGAAGAAAATTGAGATCACGTTTTCTTGCGTTCTCGTGTCCTCCTCAGTCTTCGTGTCTCATAGAGATTCAACGTGAATGGACCCTTAACGATTCTTATTGAGAAAAAACGAAAGAGGAAAAGGAAAAACCTGGAAACCTTTCCTAAATGAGCAAAAAAAAACTCATTCCATCTCTTTTCAATGATAATGTCACAAGAATGGAATATCACATGCCATAGAGTGAAATTATTAACTCAAAGGATAAATAGTGTTCTAGAAGGTCCCAAATTTTTTTCATACCCGTTTGTGATCACATTGGAACACAAAATTCGCTCGAGTTGAATTTTCAGTGAAATTGTGAATTGTTTTCTTTTCTCTTTTTATGCACTGTTCATGTTTCACGTATTTACGGCACATGGACAAGGCGTGTCAATATCTACGAAAACTTCTGATTGGGCTGAATATGCTACTATATTATATGTTATAACCCAGGAATCATGTCAATTTAAGAGGAATAAAAGGTTCGACTCTTTCATTTATAAAAATCCATTTTTCCCAGTAAAAAGGGAAAAAAGGAAATGAAGATATTCAATGGAGAAGTTGAATCACTTGCCTGGGCAATTTAACACATGGTTTAACTATTGGAAAAGTTGTGTAGATATGTCCATTAAATAGAACTGCCATTATTCCCAGCATTTTTTCCCTTGTCACTATGTAAAAACTCATGTTTTTCAGCCTGTCATGTTGAAATGAACGCAAGTTTATTTAGAAAAACTTGCGGACACACCCCATCGTAACATAATTAAATAAAGCTGCCAGTGATTGATTGTTCTTCTTGAAATGAAATTTCTACTCAAAAATTGTGTCCTCAGTGTTAATTTTGTAAATATAAATGTGCTATTCTACTATGAGAACGCGGTATTGAATTTCGGACAATCATTTACTCATTCAATCATTAATTCATTCATTATTATCGACAGATGAACAATAATATGGATTTTCATGTTGAAAACGAGAAACAACGACACCCCCGAGGAAATAAATGGAAAATTGTTTTCTCGCCATGATTTGAAAGAAAATTTATACGTGATGTAAAATCAAATCACTGGGAATATGCTGCAAAAAATGCAGACAAGCATTTATCAAGTGCAAGTGTATTGTATAGTATCGTTGATACTCGTCCACTGACAGAATAAATTTCGAGTTTGTCTACCAGTGACGATTTTTGCAGTAAGTTATTTGACGTGGTCGCAACAACGTCACGTAGAAAATTGGACCATCCGTCCCCGGGCCAGGAGCGCACAGGGGTGTGTAAGAGAGACGGGCGGGGGGGTTGCCGTGCTGGCGTGATGAAAAATCTCGCAGCGAGCCACCGAGAGTCACACACGCGATTGGTTTAGTCAAGCCAAACTATAACATACCCTATATGTACTCGATGAAGCATTCAGGTGGATTTGCAAAAAAAAAATTTTTTCCTTCTCCAGTTAAAAACTTAATGAAAAATAACAAATTAATCACTTTTTTTCTCCAGTTATTGCTGCAAAATGTATTTATTTGTTTTATATTTTTATTGATTTTTATTTTCACTTTTGGTTCATCAAAATTTCAATGAATTCCTCGGAAGTCGTCACACACATTCAAAATTCCTAGAGAACAGTCCCAAGTACACGTAGAATAATTCAAGTTGTATATTATTAATCCTTGAGAAATGTTATATGAAATGTATTAATCAAGTTCAATGTTCAAATGATGATGATAAATCAATCAAAAGATTAGTGTCCCGCAAAAAGTAAAAACGAGAAAAAAATGTGCAGCGTGCGTGATAACGATACAGCAAATAGTGCGCATTAAGGTACACGTACGCTCGCCACGGTCGCGTGTTCGATACTGGCGCGGTGTAGCGCCTGGAAATAGTTCTGTTCGGTCCCGAACGGCGTCGCGACGCCTGCCGTTCCCTCCCTCTTCACCCAACCCCAATGTATTATATCCAGTGTCAGCCACTACGACGACCCTGTCTTTATGTTCAGAATTAACGTTGATGAGTTCACTGTTAAAATGAATATCATTTACTTCACGAATGATCGCGACCCCTCTTTCCTCATTTGGTACAATATTAATTATCATGATGTTTCACATTTGCTCTCTGATTTATAGAATATATAATAATGATTATAATTTCGCTCCCAGCCGGGCGAGAAATTTTTTTAAAATTATTTGTATACTCATTGAAAACAACAAATGGATATTAATCGAAATACAAGCCTACCACTACCGATGAGAGAACATCAAACATATTTTATATGGAATGATGTGGAATATTTCGACACGACTTTATTTTGATAAGCCTATATCCAGAAGGGAGCGTGTGCCGCGTATATTTTCATTAACGCGTATCAGCCTCGGTGTGGTCCCCCTCGGGCATGTATATTCCTCCTCTGCTTCAGTGCAAGAACATGCGCACGCTCGCTCGCTTAACGCGCGGTGGGGATACCGTCCGATTAATAAATCTGAGACGAGAGCAGCACATTAAGGAGACCAGAACAAATTTATTCTTCAAAATAAGCTGTTTTTTGTTTATCCCACCAACTAGAATTGTCATCAATCTTCATTCTTTCCATCTCTCTGATTAAATTCACTGCACAATCATTATGTCAACACCAATAACCTCAAGAATTTTTCCAGCAGCTTCCAACAGCAGATGAAATAGTTGCATTTTCAATATTTAATGCACCACTCAGGCTAGAGGTGTATTGAATAAAATAGCGACCATCGAGCGATGAGGATCATTAATTACCCGTTAATCGATAAATTGTGGGAAAAAGCAGGCACACGACTAATTGCATATTTCGAATGCAACCGGGGTGGAACACAGAATCAGAGAACAGAATGGAATGGTTGGTTTCCGGAGGTTTTACGTACATGGTTATAATATCCTTGAGTGAGGAAGCTCGTTCTACAGCAGGCTCATGGACGATGCCCCTTTGTTTCCGACAATTTCGCAGCTGCATTGCACGCAACGAAAAGCGTATTAAGCTCACAGTGGCTCTTGTATGTGCATGTGGCCAGTGACCACTGCTTTCTATACTGATGCGTAATTGCCGAATTAATCTCGTTTTTATTCTTTTTTTTTTCGTTAATGAAGAGAGACTTGACACTTGAACATCAAAAAGCTTCAGCATTGTTGAAACCCCAGCGAGAGGTCATGCTTTCAATGAGAATAGTTTTCTCTTAATGTGAATACCACCATGGCTAAATTGAGTTCGACCACACTGAATCGGAATTAGTGTGAATTGGATTTGTTCAGTCGATCAAATGAAATTTGACACTTGATTGGACCTTTATGTTGCCGCAGAATGGGGGCTGTAGAATTTGATGGTTAAAAAGGGGGGGAGGGGGGAATACTTGGGTAGATTGTTCAGAGAGTAAAATAATAGTCAAGGTAAAATATTTGGGCTAGATGAACCAACGCTATTTATTTATTTTATTTTATTACTTTCATCGTGTTATAAAGAAGGCGTAAAACATGGTATGTATTCGAGGAAGAAATTTGTAATACACTCCCTCCGAGCCAGCACGATCCGGCGGTATTGGATATGCCAAGGCATAGTCCTGGATTAATTAGTGGATGACGTAAAGGTATAGCTCCACCTCCTCAGTTATATAGCGAGCCATGGATTGACGCCAGTTGATTAGCCCATTCATTGTCGTTTCTCGTCTCCGCCTTGGACTCACAGACGAGTCAATCCTACATGGGATGTTTGATGTAAACCACGATTATATGGCTCTGAACGAATGAGTGCATAGAACCCATAAAATTATACTGTAACAGATTGCTTTGTGGCTCATCGACAGCTGCAGCCGTGAAGAACCGATCGGTTATAGAGTAGTCTATAAAGAGCGCTGAATCAGAGTTGAAATTCTGATGAATAATCGAAGGGGGAGGGGGACGAACTACTCGATTATCAAACAGTGGAGAGAGAGAGAGAGAGAG